CCTCGTGAACTCATTTACGCTAGACTAGTACAAAACATTTAGGGCTAAGGACCTTACAGCAAAGCACTGGGAAAAATACAAAACATAAAATAAACAGCATTCCAATACATTTGAAAACTATACAAACTAGACCATGATTTTTTCCTTAATGTCATAAGGTAAAAATGAGGGCAGAATACAATGCCACTAACTTGTAATATAAGAGGACCCTTGTTGTTGGACAAATGTTATTCTTCATTGTAAAAGATTAAGATCGATCGTCTTGTGTAAGAGTGGCTTTAGTAGACTATAGGTAAAAAGAAAGTGAAACAGTAGTTTCTGCGCTGAATGTTATCAATTACTTAGCTCACTGCTGCCAATCAGTTAATTATTAATGCAAAATCTAATGACTTTTTTTAGAGGATGAAGATGATGAAGATGACGACGATGATGACGATGATGACGATGACGATGACGACGATGATGATGACGACGACGATGACGACGATGATGACGATGAAGGACCAGGAAACGGAGGCAATGAGACGGATGATACTGGACTTCAAACGTTTCAAAGTCTCCCAATACTCCAAAACCTAATGCCCTTCAGTGGAATGACATCTAGTGGGGAAATTGTTACTGCCCTAGCTCTATGTCTCAAATGTTTAAGTGTTATGTTATGGTTATTAATAATCGTTTAGTTTCTTGAGGGTGGGATGCTGGTCATCAAAACACAGCTGCATTCAACTATTTTGGACAGATACAGTTCTTTTTCTATATTTAAAGAAACCGTTTCCTCCTCAAATATGACTTTAAACAAACACAACCACAACAAAAATAAAATAATAGTAAAAAATGACATTAAATCTACGTGGCTTGAAAATTGACATACTTTTGGTTGACTGCGCGTAACGTAGCATCTTTAACAGAAAAAATAGTACTGATCAACAAAGTTTGATCGATTTATACACTTTACCTAACTGGGATAGTCAACAAATGTTTCACTAATTAAAATTTTAAAATATCAGTTGCAATATTCCTCAGAGTAGTAGAACCTTTTGGGATATATTTGGCTAACAAATGCACCCAAGTAGGCAACTGGCTATACGTCTGCTATACCATAACCAGTGCCCCCTGTACATTAAGATAAATGACAAAATGTGAACTGGATCACTGTTTTATAAAATAAAATAAGCTCTAAGTTTATTTGACCTTGTTAGAAAACGTTTGACCTTGCAAAAATGCTCACCTTCCCCGCCCCACAGATACAAAACAGCAGAAATGGTAACTTCAGAGTGTTCCCTGCACAACATGCAAGCCTGCACTACACTGGCTCGTAACTGAAAAAAAAAAACAAACAAACAAAAGCAAAAAACAATAATAAAACATAAAAAATATGAGCTATTTTCAACCGTTATTTACCCCTTAGGGGAAAAAACTGGCCGCGGCAAAAATGCCACGATCAGGTAATTATCTATACCCCAACAGGTTGAACAAAAACAGTCTCTTGAAACGTTACTATCCTTTGCACTCTTTATTAGCTGTGTGAAAAGTGAAATACAAGACTGGCTCAAAAATGCTCTCAAGTCAAAACATGCGATTGTCCTCTGCACCACAACAGATCTGTCTAACGAAGCTAATTTTTCTTGCGTGGAGGTATACGGAACTCAATCGGGAATAAACACTTTGGAGTTGTTCATGATGGACGCACTGATCTCTTAATATGAAAAAAACTTAGTGCAATTTTGATATTTGCTTATCAGAGTATGGCAACCATTTCTTGAATTTTTGAAAATAATGACTAGCCGTTGTTTTACTTCCCTAATAACAAAAAAGTTGCTTAGCAGATGTTTTTGGCGCCTTGTCGATAGGTGAACCAGATGGTAGTTTATTCAAAGCTTAGGGCGGGTCTCCAAGCGATTTTGATGAGCTACTGATGACAGATACGGATAATCACTTCATAAACCGCCGAATGAATAATTTTATACTCCGTTACCCGAGTACTGGGGCTCAAGTATTAAACCAGGGTAGGCTTTCTTTCCGCACGCATTGGGGCCCGCACAACTTGATGATCGCGGCTTTGCCACTAGTTTACTCATATAATATCGAGTTCGCTCAAAGATTTTCGAGCAAAAGAGATTTTGCTATATAGTCAGGCCTTTTGTCTGCCTAGTGCTTTGAATGTTTCTTCATATAACTTCCATTTGCTCTCTGAGAAGTAAAATATCTCTCTTATCACTTACCCAGTCCTCATGAGGGCGGGTTATCAGAAGTTTTCTGAATAACAAAAAAGCCTAAAAGTCTGAGGTCCACTGCTCTATAGATTGAAAAATCTCTCGTTTGAGTGGCATTCTTGTAATTGAAATTAACTTCTCCAGATTAATATGCTTATAAATTCAATGATGTATTCCCTCCTCCATCTGAGTATATATTTTATTTTATTCTTTTTTTTTGTTTTTTTTGTACAGACGATCAAACATCAGCACCTGACGTTTTCAGTAGCTGTGGCTACTTGATATGACGTAGTAAATTGTAGGTGTTCAAGCCATTTTTGAGTGTTTTTTTTTAACTGGTTTCAACGATAAAAGTAAAGTTAGGGGGCATAAAACGAAGAGAACTTTTTATTCATGTGTTATTTAACATGTCCAGCACAAGAATATATCACTTCCGTCCGTTTTTTACCTGATTTCTAAATCTTGGCAAAATCCAAGATAGCAGCCAAGATGCCGACAAAGTCACAGGCCTTCAGCAGCGCCACCACACATAACGTTTACTTCATGCTGGCGAGAAAGTCAAAGGCTTTGCACCGATGGTAAAATCGTTTTAAAATACTGCAACATATTGTAAAAACTCGAGGGGGAGGTTCCATCAACCTTCCCCCCTCTTGTATTACGGAGGGGGTATGACTTTGTTTGTACGTCCGAGGGATAAGCAAACCTCGGTACGGCTATTACTTAGTTCAACCTTCTCGGGTAATGATTCCCGTGGGTTCATATGAGAAGCCTTTTTCTGAGATCTGTTAGGACGAACATGGAAAGGTGAAATACCACAGAACAATTCTAATTAAAGGTCATATGTTCCTCACTGGGTGATATTGAACCGCGTTTTCGTATATTCCTGTACTTTACGTACAAAGGAATGGCCAAACAATGTGATCCCCCCTGGTTACTGGTTAAAAGCCACCTTGAAGTCACATGGGCAAAAGGAATTCCATGGCGATAAGATAAATAAACACAGCTTTCTAAAATAACTATAATTCTTTTCCACTCTCGTCTAAAGTGCGTCTAAAAATGTGAAGTGGAATTCTGGCCTTGTTTTCCTCCTAGCAGAAAACACTAGCCCTGCATTGAGCTGTGATAAAAGAGCCCTGTGTCAGTATGCTTAATTGTCTAAGTAAAAGCATATTCAAGTCCCGGATGTCACCTATTCCGGAAAAATAAAAAGAGTGGGCGAGTTTGTGCGAGATAATGTGAGTTTAAGCGAGTTAAGGCGAGTTAAGGAAATTTGGACATAATCTCAAGCTGCTAGTTAGGGCGAGTTAGGGCGAGTTAAGGCGATTTTAGGTCCCAAAGTAGGCCTAAAAACAGCTTCACAAGCTGCATAAAAATATATATATTCCCCTTAGGAATAAATGTTATTTTCTTTAGCCCATTATTATTGTCTTCTCTATAAGCCTTTATGTTTCTGTAGGACTTTTAACCCTACGACCTTTCTTTTTTTCGATCTTTCGCGGTACTTCACTATCCATATTAGTTGTTTCCTGAGTACATTTGAAATTTATAAGAATTCCTGGGTAGCATTTCCAAAATACAAATTAATGTAATTATTAGCTTGTACTTGTTTTTTTTTTTTTTTCCTCTCATCTTTTTTCTTCCTCAGCTTTTCGCACTTTCCGGTTGACTGAAACACGCTAGAAACTTTACAGTGCCAACATCACTAAGAACTTGATATAATATTTTATAATACCACAGTCACATAAGATCTCCTCAAGAGTGGATTACAAATATTAAACCCATTGGCCTTATGTGGTATGCAAACTAATAGCCGTGCGGTATAAGAAAAGTCTGCTAGAAACGTACATAACAGGCCTAATATATCAAAAAGAGTACTTGAAAAGAATTTTAATTCAGCCCATTTCACCATTAAAGGCTTTTTATTATCATTAATTTTTTTAAGTTCTAAAATTAATACCTTTTGTTATTTTCCGTTGCTTTTGCATACGCAGATAATCATGTTTCTAAGTAACAGCATAACATAATATGGATCTAACCTTCATAATTGTAAATATGATACAACTATAAGTAAGCGCAAATATAAGTATAAGACAATCGTTATAAAAGCTACCTTACCATTACCATCTACCAAGTTCCTTGACATCATGACATCCAAGGGTCTCTTCCTTTTCAGCTTGGTAACTTTTTTAACCAAAGTTAGCTGCAGCCCTTCGCCAAACCCAGAAGGTATGGAGATCAAATTAGCAGCTTCTTTTTCGGCTATAAAAGGTTTTTCATTTCTGAGTGTTCATGGAAAAGTTAAACAATAGACTGCGCTAAAATACTTTGTATGCAATGAAATTTGACACAATCAAATCAGAGCCGTAGTACAACTAGCTACATTTTATAACTCAAATTACACACAAAAATCTTAAGCTTGTAAAATAATTTAGTTAATTTTTCGCAAGTTAATATACAGAACTTCTAGATTTAAACGTTTACTTGGGCATGCTCCCAAACCTGTTGCTGTTGTTTTCTTTTTTAACCATGTGCGCGGCTTTAAATAAATCATCATATTGAACAGTAATGAATATGATTAATACTGTTGATAAGAAAGCCTCAGGCTGTTTTTTGTTCTTTCTTTTCTTTTCTTTTTTCTTTTCTTTGGGGGGGGGGGGGGGGGGGGGGTTTTGCCCCCATTCTATTAAAATGTACTGCTGTCTTTGTTTTTTTTTTCTCTCAAATTTTTTTTTTTTATTTTATTAATTTCGTGGGGGCCACAAACAAAGAGATTTTCTGAAATTACTC